CGACGCCAGGTCCTACCTGCGCGCCCCTGCTCCATTCGCCGTCCGAGCGGGAAGTGGGGACCCCTCTGGCGTCCCGGCGCTGGCCCGCGCGGCGCGGGGCTTTCCTGGGCGCTGGACAGGGTCCGCCCCCGCTTCCTGCGCCCCGCCCCGGTGCCCCGCGGAGTTGCAGGCGCCGTCGCGCCCCGCCCCTCCCCGGTGGCACGCCCAGCCTCTTGCCCGGCCGGCTCGGGGGACCCGATTCTCCGCCCCTGTCACTGTCCCCACCGTCCCTACAGGCCAAGCCGACCTCCTCTCCTAGGGGCGACCCCAGCACCCCGCCACGACCCTGTTGCGCTCCCTCTCCCACTCAGCAGCCTGAGGTCGCGCCCCCGTGGAGAACTCCGCAGTAGTTCCCCTTGCTCTAGAATACAATGCCAACCCCTGCCCGGGCCTCCCGGATTCGGCTCCTGCCTATCCGCACCCCCTCCTCCTTCCCTTCCTGCCAGGGCCCCTCCCGTCACTCTGCAGAGAAGGCAATTGCCTTTGGGGTTGGGGGCTGGGCGACTCAATCCCCCCTTCCCGAAAGCCCAACTTCTAAGTGCCAGTGTTTGTTCATGCTTTCAATTAATGTTTACTGAGCGCCTACTCCAGAAATATTTAGATAGCAAAACAACCCTTCAATCAACAGCTGGTACAGTCTGTCAGGCCCTGTGCTAAGGCACTGCATAGATCAACTCATTTAATCCTCACAACTACCCTTATGAGGGAGCTATACTACTATCGCCCGTTTTACAGATGGGGAAACTGAGGGGCGGGGCAGTTAAGAAACTTGCTCAGAACTACACAGCAGGTAAGCGATAGAGCTGGGATTTGAACCCAGGCTCCATGGACCGCTAACCCCTGGACACCATAAAAGCCCTGATGGAACCAGATGGTAGGGAAAAACACTAAACAAAGTATTTCAGGTAAGAGAGGCCCCAAGAAGAAAGTAAAACAGAGACCTATTAGGCCAGTGGGACAGGTGGTCAGGGAGGCCTGTCTGAGGAGGAGATGTTTCAGCTGAGAACCGGATGAGGATCTGGGGAGAAGACTAGTTTAGGGAGAGGAAGCAGCAGATGCAGAGGCCCTGGGGTGGAAAGCAGCATGCTGGAGGATGGCCTAACACCAGAGTGGCTGTGGAGCCTTGAGTGAGGGGCCAGCGCAAGGACGTAAGGTGGGAGATGGGTAGATTCAGGCTGGGGGCCGGGGGTTACCCAGAGAGTAATTTGACCCCATCCTGTCCTTAAGGATCTCTCAGTCTGGGGGTGCAGGCAAACTTCTTGGAGCCAAGGACAGCCCAGTGGGATCAAGTGCTGTGGTGGAGGGTGAGCCAGGCCCTGATGGGTAAGGATTGGCTTCCTAGGGGAGGGGGCACAGTGTTTAATTAGTCTTTACATGCTTTCATGTCTTGGCCCTACTGTGTGCCTCACCCTGTGACAAATGCTGAGGATGCAGACATGAATACGTGAAACAGACACAGGTCCTGCCCTCTGAGACCTTACAATGAAATGCTCAAGACAGCTGCCAAGTAAGGGACAGTACAGTGGACTCAGTCCTGGGAGTCAGGGATGGCATCCTGGAGGAGGTGGCCTCTGACTGGTGCTTCCAAGGATCAGTGAGAAAAAGGGAGGGAAAAGGGAGAGGCATTCAGGTGGAGGAGACCATATGAGCAAACACTTGGAGGTGAGAAGTGGCACGGGGTGTGGAAAAACCCATCACTTAGCATCTATTTCTTGACGCCTCCATGTGCCAGGTCCTGGGCTGGGGCTGCAGAGAGTGAGAAATAGATAGACCATCCCCTGCTTTGTAGCCTGGGGAGCTGGCTGGGGCACTGACAGGTAAATGGACCTAAGCAGGAGGAGTGATGGGGACAGCCCAGATGCACCCTGGGCAGAGAGGGCCTCAGGAAGGGCTGCTGGGAAGCTTGGGTTTCAAGAGGAGAGGAAACTCTCCAGCTAGGGTGTGACTCTCACTCCCAGACACACTCACACTGTCTCACACTCATTACTCACACATCCACACACTCCCACATGGTTGATATCTAAACCCACACAGTTTGGAATTCAGCCCTGCAAGCTGCCCCTTGTAAAGACGAAACCTTCCTTTGTCTGGCCTTTGTGTCTCTAAGTCTGTGCCCAATCTCATCCGAAGACAACAGCAAAAGTCTACCTTTGAAGTCCTTTGGGAATATTCAGCTTGGACTGTATCCCCTTCTGACCCCCCAAACTGGGCCCTCGTCCTGTTGTCGCGCCCATACCGGGGACCAGCAACGGGATTGCAACCCTCAGTGTTGCGCCCGCACCACACTCAGCCAGTGAGCGGGAACCGGTCTCCACATGGGATCCGAACCCTTGGCAGGAGCGCAGCCGCACTCCCAAGCGGCGCACTCTCCAGTGCGCCACCGGGCCAGCCCAGAAGTTTTAAATTTTAATGAAGTCCAAGTTATCAATTTTTTTCTCTCATGGGTCATGTTTTTGGTGTTGTATCTCAAAGCTCATTGCCAAACCCAAGGTCACCTAGATTCAAGATTTTATCCTATGGTATCTTCTAGAAGTTTTATAGTTTTGCATATTACATTTAGGTCTATGATCCATTTTCAGTTAATTTTTTGTAAAAGGTGTAAGGTCTGTGTCTAAATTAACTTTTGTTCCTTTGCATATGAATGTCCAGTTCTTCCAGCACTATTTGTTGAAAAGACTACCATTTTCCTGTTGAATTGCCTTTGCTTCTTTGTCAAGGATCAGTTCACTATACTTGCATTGGTATATTTGTGGGCTCTCTGCTGTAATCCATTGATCTATTTGTCTGTTCTTTCTTTATTATTATATTATTAATTTTATTACTATTATTTATTTATTTATTTTTATTTTAACTTCTCAATATACATTGTAGCTGATTTTCATGTCCCTTTACCCATTCTTCTTTCACCCCCTCTCTCTCCCCTCCCCCCACCACATCATATCTGTTCACTCATCTTAACAAGTTCAAGGAATTGTTGTGTCTTCTTCTCCCCCTTGTTTGTATATTTATTTATTTTTAGCTCCCACAAATAAGTGAGAATATGTGGTATTTCTCTTTCTGTGCCTGACTTGTTTCACTTAATATAATTTTCTCTAATTCCATCTGTGTTGTTGCAAGTGGTAGTATTTCATTCTTTTTTTTATAACAGAGTGGTATTCCACTGTGTAGTTATACCACAGTTTCCTTATCCACTCATCTGATGATGGACATTTGGGCTGGTTCCAACTCTTGGCTATTATAAATAGTGCTGCAATAAACACTGGAGTACAGGTATCTCTTTGGCATGATGATTTCCATTCCTCTGGATATATTCCCAGCAGTGGAATAGCTGGGTCATGTGGTAGATCTATCTGTAAGTGTTTTAGGAAACTCCATACCATTTTCCATAAAGCATGCACCATTTTGTAGTTGCACCAACAGTGTATGAGAGTTCCTTTTTCTCCACAACCTTGCCATCATTTATCATTCTCAGTCTTTTGGATATTAGCCATCATAACTGGAGTGAGATGGCATCTCAAAGCAGTTTTGATTTGCATTTCCCGAACGCTGAGTGATGTTGGCCATTTCTGTATCTTTCTTTGAGAAATGCCTATTCAGCTCCTTTGCCCATTTTTTTTTTTGTCTTTTTTTTTTTGTGACCGGCTGTACTGCGCTCAGCCAGTGAGCACACCGGCCATCCCTATATAGGAACCGAACCCACAGCGGGAGCACTGCTGCGATCCCAATGCCGCACTCTCCCGAGTGTGCCGCAAGGTTGGCCCTCCTTTGCCCATTTTTAAGTTGGGTTATTTGGTTTTTTGCTGTAAAGTTGTTTGAGTTCCTTGTATATTCTGGATATTAATCCTTTGTCAGATGTATATTTTGCAAATTTTTCTCCCACTCTGTTGGTTGTCTTTTAACTCTGTTAATTGTTTCTTTTGCTGTGCAGAAGCTTTTTAGTTTGACATAATCCCATTTGTTTATTTTTCCTTTGGTTGCCTGTGCTTTTGGGGTCATATTCATGAAGTCTGTACCCACTCCTGCTTTCTGGAGTGTTTCCCCTATGTTTTCTTTAAGGAGTTTTATTGTTTCAGGATATAATATTTAATACTTTAATCCATTTTTAGTTGATTTTGGTATGTGGTGAGAGGTACAGGTCTAGTTTCATTCTCTTACATATGAATATCCGGTTTTCCCAGCACCATTTGTTGAACAGTGTGTAGACTTCCCCAGTGTGTAGACTTGGTGCCTTTGTCAAAGATCAGATCGCAGTAAGTGCGTGGGTTGATTTCTGGGTTCTCTATTCTATTCCATTAATCCTTGTTTCTGTTTTAAAGCCAGTACCATGCTGTTTTGGTTATTATAGATTTGTAGTATAGTTTAAAGTCAGGTAGTGTTATGCCTCCATCCTTATTTTTTTGCTCAGGATTAATTTGGCTATGTGTGGTCTTTCATTATTCCATATAAATGTCTGAATAGTTTTTTCCATTTCTGAGAAAAATGTCATTGGAATTTTGGTGGGGATTGCATTGAATTTGTAGATCACTTTGGGTAATATAGACATTTTCACAATGTTAATTCTTCCGATCCGAGAGCATGGGATATCTTTCCATCTTCCTGTGTCCTCTTTAATTTCTCTCAACAGTAGTTTGTAGCTCTCTTTGTAGAGATTTTTCACATCCTTGGTTACCTTTATTTCTAAGTATTTTATTTTTTTGGTGGCTATTGTAAATGGGCTAGCTTTCTTGATTTCTTTTTCTGCATGTTTACTGATTTTTGTGTGTTGATTTTGTATCCTGCAACTTTGCTGAAATCATTTATCAACTCTAAGAGTTTTTTTGTAGAGGCTTTAGACTGTTCAATATATAAGATCATATCACCCACAAACAGGGACAGTTTGACTTCATCTTTTCCAATCTGGATGCCCTTTATTTCCTTTTTTTCTCTGATTGCTCTGGCTAGTACTTCCAACACTATGTTGAATAGGAGTGGTGAAAGTGGGCATCCTTGTCTAGTTCCTGCTTTTAAGTGAAAAGCTTTCAGCTTTT